GCACCTGAACATTATACTGGCCATGATCTGGGGCCATGTCAGCCAGTATGGCTTCCTGTCAACAAGACAACAGACATTTGTACAGGGTCCCCCTGCTTCATTCTTCAAGGCCATATTTGACTCCATTGACACAGAAGGAAGTGAAATTAATGACCCTATGGATATTTTACACATTGCTGAAGAATCAAAGATTGTGCCACAAGGATTTTCAAACGATATCTACAAAAGTAAAACAGACGAACTTCTCAAAAAACTGAAAACTGTAAGTCAGGATGCAATGGTAGATTTTTTCCAAGAAATTGAGGGCTATGTCCCCTATGGATTTACTCTATACACTTTAGATGACAAAGGATTGCTTCATCTTAGAAAGCCCAACCCATACAACAACCAGGACATTCCAGACCTTACATTTCTTGTTTTGGAGGAAGGCTTGTGTTGTACTCTCTATAATTCTGAAGAAATTCTCCTCAAGCCCATTGCAGAATTAATCTCAGAGAAGATTCAGTACACCCCATGTACAAATGAGAAAGACAAAATCAGCATTCCTGGATTCCTGAGAAATCTCATAGAGAAGAAATTGCCGGTGTGGGTTCAGAATGCCTTTCTGGCAAAGAGACTGAGGGAGGGACGGGAATATGTAGTAGAAAATGACAGCATCTGTCCAGTGGACTTCAGATCCACTGGTATTGTAGAACTGAGTAAGAAATGGGGTGATGGTCTTCAACAGTTTACTGAGATTAAACACCAAATCAAACTGAGCACGATTTCAACAGTGACCAACTACATTTCTAACATTTGTTTTTTTGAAAAATACCATGGACAAATATACGGAACAACAGGGACACTTGGGAGTGAGACAGAAATGCTGTTTTTGCAGGACCTGTATCCAAATCTCTCAGCCTGCAAAATGCCAACTTTCAACTACAAGAAACTGTTTGAGGTCAAAGGTACTCTGAAGACCTCCGCTGAAGAGTGGAAATCTGAAATAAAACATGTAGTTATGGCTGAAATTACCCCAAATTCATACAGAGCTGGAAGAGCAGCCTTGGTAATCTGTGAAACTATCAACACAGCTAAAGACATCTATGAAGAGCTGAGAGGCATCAACACAGGTGAAACCATTCTCTTCTGCCGCAGTGACAAAGAAAGTTTGAGCAAAATGCATAAGAAACTGCATCCTGGTGATGTCATTGTTGCCACAAACCTTGCTGGCCGTGGCACAGACATAAAAGTCATAGAAGAGGTGAACAACAATGGAGGATTATTTGTGATCCTCTCTTTCCTTTCTGAGAACACAAGAGTGGAGCTCCAGGCATTTGGCCGAACTGCACGCAAAGGTGAACCTGGATCTGCTCAGGTAATCATGACCACTGATCATCTGCAGGAGGCCTTCAGGACAGTGTCTTCTCTGGAGGAGGCAAGGAAAACAAGGGATAGACTTGCAGCAGAAAAGATAACTGACATGATGAATGATGTCGCTGAGATGAAACTGCGGGAGGAACTGTTTTCAGAGTACTGCAAAACCCTTCGGGATATTCACAGGAACACAGATGAAGATGAACAAAGAGCTGTTGTTGCCATCTTAAATGAGTTCTGGGGGATTTGGTTGCAAACTAAATCAGAAGAAATTGAGCAGTTGAAAAGAAGTGAATTGCAAAAGAGTCTGACAGCTGATTTGTCTCTGGCAAAAAGTCAGTCTCAAAGTCAGACTTCACCATGTTCTAGCATTTATCACTACATCAAGTTTGGGAATATTGCATTGGATAGAAAACAATGGGATATCAGTGCCATGCTATTTGAAAAAGCAATAAAACAAGATAAAAGCTGGGCTTCCATAGCTTTTTACTGTCATGCGTACTGCACTATAAAGCAGCAGAAGGGAGATTACCTTACTACAGCCATAGATGATCTCAGGAAAGCACAGGAGTCTCTAACATACCTTGCTGAGGAATGCATGGCCTGCCTGCAGTTTGTAAAAATGTCTTCTGCTGACTCAGCCAACAGTAACCCAACCAGCCTTGAAAAACAGCTGACAACCAAGTGCAACATGTTGGGTTACTTTGATCAAAACATCAGTGAGGCTGTCGAGAAGCTAGAGGAAATCAAAGAAAGAGGGAGGGATGCAATAGCCAAGAAATCACCCATGTTCTCCCTGGTGTCAAGTGCTGAGGAAGATCTCCAAGTGGAGGCCTACAATCTGTACAGTCGAGGTCTGAGATATGTCTTTTCTGTTGAAGAGGAGCCTCGTTTCCCATGGGAAGCTCTGCTGGTGTTCTGTTTTGGAGTTTTGCAGATTATTGGAGGGACACTGCTGACTGCATTTACCTTTGGAACATTAGCTCAAGTCGGCATGGGGCTGATCACTGAAGGAATATCAGACTGCATCTTCAGCATCGAGTGCATGGTGACAGGACATTTCAGTTGGGAATCATGGGCTATAGAAAAAGCCATTTCTATTGGTGTATCTCTAATCGGGTTTGGAGTTGGAAAGCTGATTTCAAAGGGCTTCAAAGCTTCTAAACTGGCGATTAAGGGAATTGGCAAAGAACTGAAGCTGATGCCAAAGTTTCTCTCCACACAGGCTAAAGATGGCCTCATTGTTGTTGCAAAAACAAATACAAAGAATGCAGTAAAACTCTCTGCAAAAGCAATGGCAAAGCAAGCCATTATGTATGGATTTAGCAAGGCAGAAGAGGCATTACTCAGAGAAATAATTAATAGCATTAAAGATGTAGTGAAAAACGAAATTGTTAACAATGTGAAATATAACCTGGACGAAGAACCCTTGGCTACATTAGTAGATTCCATTATACTTTCACATTTCGAAGATAATCAACAATTGTCTGACCTCCTGCAGGACAAGAACAGAAAAAGCAAACTTCTCACCATTTTCAGAGACTTAAGCAACACTGCATTACAGCCATTCTATGCAGATCTCAGCTGGCAGTACAAGCTTAACTCATCTATCTCCACAGTGATTGAGAAGGCTAAATCTGAGACCAAAGGCACAACACGTGGAATTCTGACAGCCATCCAAGCCATCCACAAGGTGTCACTGGCAGCAGATGCCATCAGTTCAGTGGCCAGCCTCTCAAACAAGTTTTTCTCAAAGCTTCAGGAACAGCTGAATACGTTTAGAGAAGGAAAAGGTTTCTTAGAAAAAGTGAAGCAAAATGAGCTGCCAGCTTCACAAACCAAGATGCTGAAGGAATTCAAGCAGGATTTAGCTGACACCATCAGTACATTATTAGCTGATGCTTTAGTAGATGTATTCCACCAGAAGTTCTCCAGGCACATTGCTTCACATGTCCAAGGCAAAGTAAATGGCATCATTGGCCATTATGTAAAAACGGGCCTAAAGATTGACCGAACAGAGGAAAAACTCAGAGCTGGACAAAACAACACGTATATTGCATACATGCCAGGAGACCTGAATTCAAAACATAAACTTGCAGGGGAGTCTGGTAAACGCTCACAGTCACATGCTGAGAAGATCAGGAACACCACAAAGGCAGGTACCATTCTGGATATCAGAGTCTTGTCAGAAACCACTGGCACCAAGGTTGTCATCCTGACAGAGGACAGCCATGGCAAGCTTACCAAAATGCAGGAGCTGAACCCGGTCACTATGCCTGCCAGTCAAACTGTGACACTGATCTACAGACCAAAGAGTGCCCAATACCCAGACGGCCATTATGATGTGCTCATCAATAATCAAACAGTTAGTGTAACCAGCAAAAACAAGAGCTGTCTGTTTCATGCTTTAGCACAAGGCTTAAAACCAGAGGCCAGTGAAGAGGAGATCGCTTTGGAAGCAAATCGCCTCCGATCTGTGGAGGCTGACACCCTGCTGAGACATCCGGGCCAATGGGAGCCTTTCGTCAAGCGCAAAGAGTGGACAGAAGCAATCAGAGGAGGAGACTGGTACATGGCAGAGGGAGCTGCACCAAAAAAGATGGTGAAAAAGATAGAAAATGAAGAGGTGCTCAGTAAAGAGGTTGGAAAAATAGAACCCTACAAAGAGTGGAAAAAATATGCAATTAAAAATCCCGGTATCGGGCAATTCATCAATGCAGATCACCAGCCACCGGTGAGTAGTATATTAGAAGCCAGAAATATAAACCAGAATAGCAAATTTGCCAAAGCCATGCTTGAAGTGGCAACAAACTCGTCTCCTTTGGACACCAATCTGATTCCCAATGTGCAAAATTCTCATGGCCGTGAACTTCCAACTGTTTATGTGCCGAAAGAAATACATCGTGAGTTTCCTAGTACCACATCAGATTCCTTCAGAATGAGCTTAGCTACTGCCATTAGCCAGGACGATGTTGTGGCCACCTTCAAACTGACCATCCTAGGTGCAACACCCAGATTCATGTTAAATAGTGCCAAGAACAAGACTTTCAAAGACTTTCAGAACAACCCAGTGAGTCAAACCAGGCTTAACATTTATAAAAAAAGTTTTGAGCAGCACTCTATAAAGATGGTACAGAAATGGTACACCCTGCTTCAAAGTAAAGGTGTCATGGACAATAACCATCTCAATGACCTTACTGACTGGATCAACAACCAGGGCTACAAGAATCAAAACGATCCACACAGGAACCAAGTCTCCAATCTCCTA